TGAAAACAACCTTGTACAGAAAAAAGTCACAAGTTTATGACACACATGATATTTACTTTCAAAAATCGATTGAATTGAGACCAAAGTATTTCGCTGCTTCTATTGTTCGTGTACCATGTACGAAGACTAGTAAATTACTACTTAAACACCATTTAATCTACAGTATCGCAAAGACTATCATCCAAACGCACGAATCTCCACTGAAAATCCTGGAAAAGGAATAGAATTCTTTGACCTTCCTATAGTATAAGGCTGTTACTGTTGAAACGTCAAATAATTTATACGCAAGAACCACGAGGAGTTAATTAAATCCGATGGGTTTCACAATTCTGTGCTGACAGATCCTCATTGAACGTATTTCGAGAGATACGAAGAGAGTAAATGAACGCCGACTGTGCTCGCCAGCCAATCTTCGCAATCGCGCACCCAGTGGCCGAGAGATGCGATGACGTCACCCTCATACGTCACACAAGCGCGAGAGAGAGCACACGCCGTCTGCGCGTCCAGCTTCCGATAAGATAGCGAGCGCGCCGCGGCCGGGGAGGCGCCTGCCATCCAAGGCCTTGCCAGCCCTCTGCAGAAGGCACCCAACTTTCCGCCCATCTCCGCAGGGGGCGCTTCGGGTCCCAAAATACCGTTTTTCTACATCGTGACGGTGCACGTTCGGCGCACCGAAGCACAACAAGTCTGAATCACGCCGCCGGTGGCGCTCGTTTTAAAACACTTCTCGGAAGGCTTCTCCCGTTCGCAGGTGTTCGCCGACACGTGCGTGACGTCAGGCCTCGCTTTATTGCACATCCACTGGGTATAAAGCCGAATATAAAGCGAAATACGGCGCGCGAGGCAGGAGGAAACGCGACCCAGCCAGCGTGACGGGCGCGGAGGCGACGGCCGGGGCGCGGCGAGGCATGGGCGGACGCGCTGTGGTGAGAGGGGCGGGTGAGGTGGGCGGGAGGGGTGGGGTCAGTAGGGTGGGTGAGGTAGGACAGGTGAGCAGGGAGAGGGGGGCAGAAGGGGGCGAGGTGGGGTGGGGTGTTCTGCGGCGAGTTGCCCGTGGGACGCGGCAAGGCGGGTTGGGCGGGGAGGGACGGGGTTGTTTGTTGCAAATTGCACTCTACGAATGAATGTAGCAAGAAGACAGACAGGGCCCAAGTTGAAAACAAATGCTTGTCTTCGCTACATTGCTTGCCTTTAATGACTACCTCTCTTATCGTCATTCTTGGAGAGATCGATACTAGTTTTAGAGGGTATTTTAATGTACTTCCATAAATACATTACCGCGTAATTAACTCAAATAAAATAACTAATAAAATACAGGCGAAAAAATTAGGACACATTAAAGAGAACACTAATACATAAGGAAATATTTGAGAGAACAGTTTTTAATGAACAGTAATTGATCTTGGGAATTTCCAAAATTGAACATAATCGTAGAACGTATTTAAATCTGTAATGCTGGAACTAATAATAGAATGAAAGAAAGAAGAAAAATTGTTTCTCCCCAATAGATATGGCTGATGACGCGGCCCCTTGAATTTTAAACGAATGTTTTCATCTGTACTTCAAGCAACGACGATATCTCGAAAATTTTCTCAAAAATTACATCTATTTTTTATTTCATTTTTTTTCTAGGAATATAGCCCGATTTTCAGTGAACTCTTTGAACGTCCGAAAATTGCAAAAGTTACCATTAATGCCAAAAAGTATGTGCTCTTGTAGCACTAATAGTTTTAGTCTTAAATCTGTGGGATGCAGCGCTAAGGAATAATTCTCTATCCCACAGGAACTTATGGGGTTATGGAATCTCATGGGGTTCCCTGTTGGCCGTTTCTTATAAATGGTACAGATCAGTTGACTTTTCTAAGTGTTTTATACATAGTGGCGATTTGATATCATTATTTAAGTGAGAAGAATTAATTAAATAATAACATTATTGACAAAGAAGTCCATATCCATAACACATTACGTGACTCCTACTTGACTTCCTTCAGACAATAAAATTCAATGATTCTAATGTATCACCAACTCAACGCCACAATAATTGACACGGAAAAGAAAACCATCTTCGCACTATTTTTGTACGCAAAAGTGCAGAAAGGTAGGAATTCTAATTGATCCTAAATAGAAAAGTTATTGCTGCATTTGAAGAGTCCAGAATTTAAACAAATCTAGATGCAATATTCTTACAGTTTCTGGATTACCGCAAGCATCTTGAGGATAAAATGTAACTTCCGTCATTAAAGTAAAAATTAAACAAGCACGCATCTTTATTAGGCCGCTTGTATGGAAGAGACAATGCAAAAAACGATCGCTGTGTCCCCTTCTGGAGCCCCAACCTCATTATGAAATGGGCGTATCCTGTTAACATCTGCACGAATGTCTAGGTGGTTTAGGAGTTTCCCCTTTGAGGCATTTTAAAAAGATGTTCGAATAATCTCTTTTCGAAAGGGTAACCGACAAATTGTGAAACTTAGCAGGAACTCATCTTACAGAAACCAGATCGAAAGTTTGTTCAGATAAATCTTCAGATTCGAATCTCCGTCGAAAGAGACGGATTCTACGCGTTGGGCATCTCGGAAGCAAACGAGGCGGCTGCGCTATGGATACGAACGAGACCTGGGAAGTGCTGCGAATAAACATAGGGGTAGTCTTCCCAAGAGAGTTTGATGGCCCTGCTGTAGAGTCTTAATTTATCAAATAGCTATGGAAGTGAAACACAACAGCCAAGAGCACTCGTCGGGCTTCTCGAGATTGCACTGCGTAAGGGAAGGTGGTGTTGGTCCCCCTGTCGAACCCGCCGTGTGGGCCTGGCAGGAGCCGCGACGTCGCGGGGCTCGCACAAAAAGGTACAACGTCACGTCCACAAGGCCGAACGAGTCGCCTGACAGAGGTAGCTCAGGGCATTAATTGATGTGACTGCAGTGCCTCTGAGCGCGAGGTCCTAGGTTCGAGTTCCGACGGCGGCAGGTTCTTCGCCAGAAGCTACGCAACTAGATCGAATCCAGTCGCTGTCTGGAGGAGGGTTTTAGGGGCCGCCTGCTCTGACCGATAGTTTTCCGTGTAGACACCTGGCGAATGCCGAAGCATTACCTTAACACGGGCCGATCTTTCCTTTCTCTTTCTTGTTCCATCCGCACCGCTTACTTACTTATACGCACAATCACTTATGCCGGAAGATCAGGCGGGAGCTCAGATCTTGTTCCGGTTGGTGCGGTGGCCCTTTGGTAGAGGATATATGTTTGGGGAAAACCCCGCTACCTTCCATCACGCACTACACACTTTCGTGACCATGCGGTAATGAGCTTAGTAGTTAACGCGCCCAATCCAAGAAGGGGGACGGGGGCGGCAGGAGCGACGAGCAGCGTGCCATCGCCGGGCGTCGCTCGCCGCCTGACGCAGGGCCTTCGCGCTGCCGCCTGACTAACAGCGGCGCCCCGGGGAAGGCGGTGCGGTGGCGGCGCGGCGCGGCGTTTGAAGTGGCGGCGGCGGCGGCGCTTATCGGCTCAGGCACCGCAATGACGAGCAATGACCCAGCGCTTTCCCCTTTTTGCGTGCGTCTGCCCTTGGGCTAAACATACTTGTGCGGCAATTTCCTATTCTCTTTTCGTCTTCTTTCTTCAAAACAATGAAATAATTACCGCCAAAAGAGTAAGTTCTGAGAGTTGCTTACGAAAGTAGAGTGATTATCTACGAAAACGAGAGTTCCGGATGAGAGAGAAATAGTAAATAAATAGGAGAAAGTTGCTCCTACTAACCTTTTTTTACTATAATGGAAAAGGTAAATCGTAGTGAAAGGGATGTTGAGAGAAGAACATGTGCACTTAACGTGCATGTGCGCTAACAAAGGTCTGTTGGATTAAGATTCCAGAACAATCAAATAGTTTACGCACATAAATAATAGAATCAAGAATTAAGCTCCAAAATCTAAAGGAGTAATTTTGGTAAAACAAGAAAATATAAACAATGTATTTAATTAAAATTATAACTAATCAATTCTCAATAAATTTTAAACTATGTTCACGTAGATTTTACATCTTGTCTAGGAATTCCAAACCTCTATATTTTTATTTGTACTTCCATCAGACAGATAACACGCACCAAGATAATAAATAAATGGAAGGTTATAGCAGAGTTCAATGATCGGTACTGCTCTGAACTAAAATTTGCACGTGCATTTTTTTGCATTTATACATTTCTTTTAATTTTTCAAGTAACATATGTTATTCAACTTAAATTTTTGCTTCTTCTATCGCTCAGACTAAAATTTTTATTGATCTATTTCTCCTATTTATTGCTTTTCATATTTCAGATATTCATGTCAATCTTTTTATACTTTTTAAGATATAATTAATATTTTCGATACAAATTTTTACCGAAAACACTATAATACGGTAGAGAATGAAATGCGTAGATAAATATGTTGCCCATTGCAATATCAACACTGATGTTTTCACAATAAAAAAGTGGAAATAAACGAGATAAAATAGTGAATGTGACATGTGCGAGCTTCCAATATAATTCGAAACGACGATTTGCGATGGAACGCAGTTCTTCATATTCGCTACCCAACGTCATCTGCTGTGGTCTCATACAAACACGTGATGTTCTCCAATCACAAAATCATCCATTTTCTTAACACTTTCCCGTACTGAAGTAATATTCCTTACAGATTTGAAACAAACCGTAACAAATCAGTATCTCCAAGTATGAAATCGAAAGATTTGAGGAAAAATAATTAATGATGCTTAATCCCAAAATTATATAAATTAATTATATCAAGCCGGTGAAATAACCAGAGAATGGTATTGTTCATAAAAAAAATACATTGTTTATTTGTATCCATCTATTGTAATACGACTATTAGTAAATAATATAATAAAAGCAGCTGCCTGCAGTTGTACGTATATTCTGGCGAATAGTTTTTTTCGCGATGAGTTAACAAGTGCAAAGAATAGTAAGTATTTTTCTTCGAATTCTTCAGTGGGGAACAATATGTAAAAATGGAATCCAACGAAAAATCAACTGGCAGCGTGACCTCTGACTGCAGGGGCCAGCCCGTTCAAGATCGCCCGAGTTACACCGTTGTACAAAATGAAATGTTCCCTGACAAAGACCAACGCATTATAATCGACAGTAAAGGTTCCAGTACTTCTCTAGGCAGGTGTGTGGAAGCGCTAGCAGCTCGGGGTCAACATGGGCATATTACGTGCGCGTCAACGTTTTCTATCTCTCACGAGCACGTCAATAAACCATATTACTGAGAAATACAAGACAAACTTTGACGGCAGTGATCAGAAAGCAAGGCTTTATATTAGCACACAGACAGAGTTTTGTCTAATGTGTACCCAGTGATCCCAAATTCAGTCGTAGAACAAGAGCTCGACAAGCAAAATGTCATAAGACGTTTTACAGTGTAACCTCGTGTCAGGGTTACTAAAGAGAATTTTATGAACATATCAAGTTTTCGAAAGCAATTCTTGCCTAATAAATCAGTAAGTAAAATGCAGCATTCTATTCTTGTAGAATTCAAAGTAGAAAGGAATTTGATTTATCTATCTGCCGGCGATATAAAGTGTTTTCAATGTAAACCGGAAGGACATATTGCAATAAATTGTAAAAATGTGGATCCCGCCGATAGATGTAATACTAAAACAATGCATCACGGAGTAGATGTGAACGAACAGGTAAGTTGTAAAGACTTTCAAAGTTCCCTTTCTCTGAGTCAAGTGAAACCAATTAAAAGGCCATTTTTACATATTACCAACACAGCCAGTGACGCATCGAAAGTGTCTGCTTCAAAAAGTGGAGAATTGGATGATGATAATAAATAATAATAATAATAATAATAATAATAATATTCGCGGTGGAAGAGGAATCGACCTTCAAAACCAATACTGAGATTTCGCAAAATACACATCTTAACGGTTCTGGAAAAACACCTCACGCATATGTGAATGTCAATACTGAAACAAGCACAAATTCCAAGAACTATTTGATTTGGGAACAAGTGGTGATGCGTGACCAGTTCTAAGTCCGAGGAATGCAATATTGACACTCTACGTCACTTTTAACAGGAAACTATTTAGAGACACGAGCACCCCTCTTTCTTATTTCCGATTTCTACTTTCCTTTACATATAATTATATATTATTACTGAATAAATAATGAAGTATCTTCACAACCTAAATATTTAATCTAACAAGCAGAAATGTAGTGAACTACGAAGACCGTCGTCATCTACACTTGGAGCTCCAGGTTTCTGGTAAGGGAATTCCAGTTAACGCACCACAGTCCCTGGCTATTGTTCCCTTTCATCAAGCCGCTTGAGGTCCCGGAACCAGAGCACGGGAAAGCGGATGACCTTCCCAGAACGTGAGTAAGAGGTCGCGAGACATCCGCCTCCAGCGTTTGTGTCAGCAATTACACAGAGCGTCACTGAAGCCAGGCCTCCGAAGAGCTGTAGGCGCAGCGGTCGGGCTCGGCTGGAGCTTCTCCAGGGGAAATTCCATTTCTGAAGAACCATCTGGAATATATGTTTCGTTGTATATGTAATCAGATAAACTCACAAATAACAGAAGTCGTGAGTTTGTGAAACTGTTTTCCACAACTAACTCAGATTACACGATAAACAATATGTGTAATCAAGAATCTAAAAATCTTAAATGACACGTTAGTAGCTATGATTTGTTTCTCTTTCTTTTCATACCAAGAAGATTTACAATAATTCCAAGAAAATACTGAGCGAGTGTCTCTTTGTCCTTCGTTGTTTCATGAAATCATAATTGGGCTGTTCATATTAAACATAATGGATAGTATTCGATTAACTCGGCGACTATTGAAATGTTTCTGCATACAATTACTTTATTTCACAATTGACAAAATATATTTTGCGTGTACTCATGCATATACGAAAAAAGTTGTACAACTGCAAGAGGGAAAAGCATAGGTGTGCACACGGGGGGAGGGGGCAGGGAGGCTGGTTTCTCTGAACATTTTGGAAGGAGCTCTAAATAATGGAGCACTTAATTTACGTAAATTTGATGAATTCCTTATTTTTTCCTTTTCTGGCTTAATTTAATCGTTTGGGTTAGTTTAATGAAAAAATGGGCGCAGAAATGTAGTTGCCCCTCCCTTTTGTCTTAGAGTGCGCACGACTATGGGGAAAGAATATTACAAATTCACTGTAAGAAACGCATCTTCCTCTTAAGATGAATAAAATTCAATCAGCTGCAAAAATGCGTGAATTTCCACCGCAACAGAATTCATTGCAATCTTCAATTCCTTGAACACAAATGTCGTAGCGCGTCGCCCCGCGTCTTGTGGCAGGTCCAGAGCGATGCGCTTACTCGGCGAGAGCTGCGTCAGCTGACTGGCGCCGTGAGAGCGCGCTGCGGCGGTGCGGAACGCGCCGAGCGAGACATTCCTGGAGGCGCTGCTGCTTCCTGTGCCGCGTTGCACGGGATTTATGAATGGGGATGAGGGAACAGCAATCCCGCGGCTTCAGCGAAGCGAACGCATTCAGACGGATTGGCAAGCTGCTTCATCGTGCAGCCGGAAACAAAACAAAAAAGTGGAAAGGGCCTATTTTTTCAACACGTTTTTGAGTCCCTAACACTGAAACAATGAATTATTTTTGTTCCTATAAGAAAATAATATAATTTGCTCCTATAATCAATAAAATAATTTGGCGACAAAATATACAAGTTTTTGTATTACAACGTAGGGATCATATTGCTGCAATACGCAATGCGCCTAACTCGGAATCGACGGGCCCTCGGCCCTGACTTGAAGCCAGCTCTTCATTCCTTAACCGGCCCGAGAACGTGCAGCGCGCGACATGAGCAGGAAGTCGAAATCTATGGAAATTGGAAAATTGAAAGAATATACGCATATATATTATTCCGTGATAAACTTAAAGTGGCTAAATGATTTTCTGTGAAATTTAATATCAAAGCTTAGCAGCATTATTCGTGGAATATTTATTCACGCCCAATGTATACTAGGCTTAGTAGACTGTAATGCAGCTCAAAAGATGGGCGTACGTAGGTAGAATGCTATTTTCTTTTTTCAAATAATAATTTACAACGTGTGGACTATAGGCAGGAGTCCAACACGTATAAAATATTTATCTTAAAAGTATATTACTTTACTATCTCTTTGGAATACATATTTTATTATTCAGCTATAAAATAATAAACTTGACGCAATTTTGATACAATTTAAATTATTGTCGATAATTTATAACAAAAAAAGACGACTCAAAACAGGAAAGCGTTTTGAGTTTCACGTAAAATGTCACCTTGGAAACACACTTTTACTCTATACCACATTTGGCCACTTATAACCTTGAATCGTAAATTGCTTCTAATTGCACAGTTTAACTTCAGACTTATTTCACGTATTACAACTAATTTTTGGAAATTTTCATTTCATTTTAGGCTAAAAATACTTTTAAAAAAGCACAAAAAATTCAAGAAAGGACGTCAATTGTGACATCACGTAGCTTGTTATTCCTTTTCTTCATGGACCGGTCTCATTTCTTTAAAACTGAACTGCCACTCGCTGATAATTACAAGAGAAACAAAAGGAAATGAATGAATGCCAGTATGCGTGGTAAACAGAAACGTGAATATAGGTCTGGAATAATACGCATTTGGGAGGAGCATTACATTATTTTCACAAATGTGGTATACCCGTGCAGTGTCGAGTGATTACGGTATTATTTATACGTATTTTAAATGGGAATAGTAACGAAGATGTATTTTTGATTATTTTTTATTACTTTACGTTGATTTTGTGTGAATAGGAATTCCAAAGTAAATTTATTTTGTCAAATTTTTAAACATATTGTCATCTTCTCAAAGACAGATTTTCATTCAGGTTCTGCAATGTTAAATGCAAGAAGTAAACATCTGCAGGATAGTTAAACGAATGTTTTTGCTTGAAAGTTGAATGCTTCTGAGGAGGCCCCAGGCTTGTTAAATATTGGATTGGAGGGGAAGACCATTCAGTTTCATAACAAGCGATTAAAAGCATGTTCTTGAGAATTACTCCACCTGCTCTTCAGTTATGTCTAATGCGCAATGCATATCAGATGTTCGTTAATACATTAATCTTTAATGGCGCCTTATTAATGCAGCGAGCTGCAACCCGCTAACCAAGCCCTGAACAGTATGACCAACGCCCCGTGGCTCAATCCAATAGTTTACAGAGTATCGTTTTGAGATTTTACTTCCTTTCTTTTGGAAATCACATTACTTTTCTATTGTCAGGTAAGTAAGGTAATTCTATATTGATAAATGTGCAAAAGGTAATTTCTTATACGCCACAACGCCACATGACGCTATGCAATACATATTGACTACACTTTGCTTCACTGTATTGCGTTGATTACATTGAGTGCATTATGTAGCCCAGGCAGAATTTCTAAAGATTTTCACATTCTGTATAAAGGGTCTAGTTTCAAAATTAGACTTTTCCATTCTAGTCTGTTTTGAGAAAAACAACAAAATGTCATATCATTTGTGTAAAACATTCTTCTGCTAATTGTTTGAGATTATGTATCATTATTTCCGTTTAATTTCTTTCTTTCATGTGCGATTTTTCATCAAAAGCAACCTCAACTGCTGACCTTCACAAATCGCATCATTCTAAGCATCAGCTAGGTCAATGCTTAAGCCAGTTAGGTTCTACAGAATGATAACTTTTCATTTTGACATAGCACGCCGCCAAAAGATAGTGGCACAAGTATCTCTGATTGATTGATTTGAAAGACCGCATTCTGATATTAACACATTATTATGAAGCCTCCTGGAGTGAACAAAAAACGCGTTTTGTAACAAATAATTTTAAAGAACTACGCATAACTGCCACAGACCCTTATTGAAACCAATTTCTCATTTGAGTGGAAAAGTTGCGATTTGAAACTAGACCCCTTATACACACTAACAAACAAATATAGAAACACAAAATAAAACACAACTCCGACCCCCCCCCCAGAAGTGAGTTTGGAATGGTTACAGTGCCAATGCATCATTCCTCTTCTCCTTCTATGCACGACATTCTACACAAAATTATCGAAAATTAACACTGTTAACGTGTTTTGAAATCGTAGACTGCTTCAGGGTACAAGAAAAGGAAAATTGTTAAGTATTTGTGACCGACAAGGTGGCGTTGATTAAATTCAGTTGATTTAAATAATTGATTAAAATCAAATTATATTGAAATCAGTAATTTAAATCAACAATTTTTCTATTCCTCCAAATACTCTAATTTGGTTCTTTTTCTACCTCCTGCAAACATTTATAAAATGCATAAATTAATAATTTACTATAAAAATGCCGGACCACTATTTGGTAAACACCTACGGAAATAGGCGTCTGCAGCCTAAACCAAGGCGGAGAACTACAGTTCTGCCTTCCCCTTATTCAGTAAAGTTTTTTGTCACAAATTACTTGCACATTATTTTCCGCCTATTTTTGAATGTATTTTGGGGAGCTTGTAGAAAGGATCGACTGCGATTTTTCGGGAGTAGTTTGGTACATTTGGCATAGCTTTTAGCAGAGCATTAAAACATGTCAAAATCCGTTGGCTACAAGCAGTGTATTGAATATCGAGTCATGTATTTTTTGGGAACTAAAATTAAATTTGATTTTATACTTGTAAATTACAAATGTCCAGATACAATATCGAGAAATACTTTTCAAAAATAAAAGTGCAAAAAATCGAAAATATAAAATGTGAAAATTATCAATATTTTGTAAGTCTTGGCATGTATGTTCTATTCTTTGCAACAAATAAAACTTAATTAAAAAGAATACTAAACTTAATTTTAATTACTGTGTCAAGTTTCTGGCTACCGCACAAGAGTTCACTTCACAACTAAATGAAACTCCAAAATTGTACAAATTTAACTTCCCTAGACAATATGTAAGTTCTCGTGGCTAGCTGTTGGTTTGCGTGCTCGCTGCTTTATTTGCAATGACCCAGTCCATGTTGCTGTGTGACGATGAGCGAATTCACTTCTCAGGTTGAGAAGACCGAAATTCGGCGCGAGGTGTCTTCGTGCCCACCACACGCACCTCTTAGCCCATGGCCGCGAGGCGGGGGCGTCGCCTGAGCCGGGTCGCGGGCTGTCGCGCCAACTACATGCATACACAGATAATAAGTACTTAATGTACACCATACCAACTACAGATAAGGTAATTACATTCGAATAGACTAATGTTCCTATAGAAAATTTATCTGTAAGTTAAATACGTCATTTTATCAGTTTTTAAAAAATTAGGAAACTAAAAATGTTTATGCGTAAGGCACGGCGCCCCTTTCAAAATTTGGGGGCGGTGACGGATTCCCTGCTCTCCCGGCAGTGGCTCGCGAAATTATTTGTCCTGGCGTAACATACGTATTTTGTATTTTAATAAATATTGAAACAGAGTAAAATAAAATTAAAACATTCACACAACGATAAAGATACTAAATTACGATGAATATTAGAATTTATATCACAAATGAAAGAAACAACATTAGAGTACAAGATGAACCTAATTTGCTTTCCTCTCGCTCGAGGCTGGAGCGCTGAGGCGCCGCCGCGGCCAGCGTGCCCTGCACTTCCGCGCTCCGCCGGGAAAAGCCTTGAGTCGCAAGGAGCACGTCTCCTTTCTCTCCAACGGTGCGGGCTAACGGCGTCCAACGTACTGGAGGAGGAATTACGGAATGAAGTACGATTCTCTGAATGAATGAATAGCCACACATGACGTTCGCGGAAACCCCAATTGATGAAGTTGTCAAAATGGGACTACAGCCAAGTTGTCTTTTTGATGAGACACACTAAGGAGAAATTATTGGAAGTCACAATACATTCGAAACAATAAATATCAGAAAATGACTCGGTAGGTATTAATTTAGGGGCTAGACAACTAGATGTTATGAATTATATAAATGAAGTCCTCATAAACAAACACAGACTAAATTTAGTACCGTACAATCCCGTCACAACATAAAAGTTGGAACTTATAAATTTATGTGATATGACTTATGAAATTAAAATTCAATTCAAACGAATCAACATTTTAAATTAATGCAATATATTAACGAATGATTCGTTGACAATAGTTCCTGCGACATTTCAGTCCTGGAGTGTTGGGACTCCTCAAGCAACACTAACAATAATTCAATCAATAATATAAATAAACAGGAAAGATTTATCTCCCATATTAACAGAGAGTATAAGTAATATACACAATACGACAATATCCAAAGAAAAAAGACTATCATATTGGGACAACATAAAAAAATTAACCTAAGAACAAAATGATAAATTAACTATAAATTCAACATTATATAAGGAAGGATATAAAAACGACGAGTTTTTTACGTACTACTGTCTCCATATTCGTATAAATCACAGTGTATGATAAAATAAAAGCACAATCTACGGATGGGCAAACGTCCTTACGTGTCGAACACCTGTAAGATTTTGCATTTCGGTATGGAAAGTTTACATCCCCCCCCCCCTCAAAAAAAACAGCCTTCGACTGTTACCCGAATCCAAGAACCAGGCGGAACCTCTATCAGGCAATCGGGCCTACACCCGAAAAAGTCGCAAAAAGAAGTTCAATGTCTTTGTGATGAATCAAAATGTAGAATGGGACATGCATATTTTATATAATTTCTCTGTATTCCACATAGAATTTAGAACTTTGTTATTTAACCTGATTTTCTTTCTATATTTGAGCCATTCTCTTCGACCCAAGGGCGTCGCAAAGGGGTTTTAGTGCTGATGAAATGGCCGCAGTCCGCACCCGGGGAGCGACCAGCCACACAGAATGCCTTTGGCAGGACGGGAACTGGCGCGCAAGTTCCCTCTCGAAGGCCAGCGAGGATTTCCCTTGCAAATAAAAGTTCTCATTTTAGTAAAAAAGTAATCTAAATTCGAAATGCGCGGGTTTCGCTGGGTTCCTCTGGACTAGAATCTCTGGGTTCCAAATATTCTCTATTTCCCAGACCACAACGACGAAGTACTTCCTGGTTCCCAGTACGTTTAAAGAATAGTTGAACCTACGAGGATTGTGTTAAAGCAATTCCTCTGAAGTACCCTCGGGCGGTGAGAGGACTAGACTCGCCGCAGCAAGGAAGTGGCGTCGTTCCTCTCCAGCTGGACGAGCAGGGAGACCCGGCGCAGACCTACAAGTCGGCCACTCCCCCCGCGGGGCACCTCCCTGCCCCCCCCCTTCGTATCTGGTGGTGTAGTGCATGTAATAGCGCGTGAGTGTGTTTTAGATAGGACAAAGACAAATCGCGCGCGCTCTATAGTCCATTGATTCGGGTATTGTTGCGGTAGTCGCCAGCTATCGATCGCAGAGCAGCGACTGCTAGAATGCAGCGGATCAATTAGACCTATCTAGCTAATGTCGAAAATCTACCACGTCGGACTCGAGTGCCAATACGACCAAGTGAGGGTCGCCGCACTGGCAAAAGTATTGCTGGCTTTGAGTAACACGTTGTTAAGTTCGGTAGGTACGGCAAGCTATGACAGGTTTGGCAAATGACGAGGCGTACATTCTACTTTAATTGTCACAGTGCCATTAGTTTTCGATATGACCTCAGGATAATAAAGTACCTTATTTTATACGACTCGGGCATCCCCACAAGGTCTATAGAATGATATGATCAATAGGAATGTATTGTCCACATCAAGCAACTCATGGACGTGAAGACGTTTTGCAAATGAGCGGTTTTGTTCAATTCACCAAGAGTCCCAGGCACTACTTCGGAGGACCGCAAACTGGGTCGTAGCAACCCACAATATCTTCTTCGGCACCATCGTGGGGGCCTCGACAGCGACAGTGTTTGGGGCGCGCGCTCCACAAATTACAGGAGGGGGAGGGGGAGGGGGAGGCGGGCGTGTCCGCCGACGGCGCCGAGCGACGCGGTCGAGGGCGCAGCCTGTCCGTCCGTCCGTCCGTCCGCACGCTGGCCCGCCTGCCCGCGCCGCGCCGCGGTGTGATGCGCGCGTCGGGAATAGAGATCGCATCAGCGCCGCGCGGCCCCACGCGCCGGCCCGCACGCACCGCCCGCACGCACAGCCCGCGGCGTCGCGACAGCCGCTGCCGCCGCACGCGCATTCACGTTGCTTTTTTACTTCTTTCTTTTCCACACATAAAGCAAGTGGATGAATGGACCACGGTGGAATACACTGTCAAATGGGCGGTGATTGAAAAAAGATGTACTGCTAAGGCAGGTAGTCCTTCCTCTTCCTGTCCCTTACTTACACTCACGCGCGCTACACTACTACTCTTGCGAAGAGACCAGACGGTAGATTGGAGCTCGTCGCGGTGGGGGCGGTGCCCCGCTGCTGGCAAATGTTGGCTGGAGAAACCCCGCACGGCGACAAGCAACTCGTGATCGATCGGGGGAGGACGGCAGCCATGCCCGGTGATAAATCATGCACTACAATTACAGGACTAATGACGGAGTCGCTGATGTCGCCGCACTCTTTCCGTTCTCATTCTTCTGTCATTGCATTTCTGAATCCCCCACCATCCCCCTCCGCCCTCGTGGGCATCGCTGTCCGCCTCTAGTGGACACCACAGCCAAGGAACGCCAGAGACTCATCTCGGCGAAAGATAGCCGGGTTGGTGACGGATAATTAGCACTTGTGTGTGGCGCGGTAGAATAGGTTGAGAGGATGATCACAGAATGGGTCTGATGCACTAAACTGAACGTTCGTGTCTTACATGGCGTTGGAACCCACAGCCCGGATGTAACGCGTACCTGCGCGCAAATTCCCTAAGATCTTGCGCCACCCAGGCAGGCGCACTAGTAAAGTATATTGACTTAATTGAATGGGCGCAGTCGACAGCTCCGTCGCTCCGTTTATCCCCATTGGCGCGAGCTGCTTGTAAGAAAACTACGTACTGTTGGAGCCCCATTGGAATCTGACGCCCACAACAGCAGACAAACAAAGCCAATAAAAACGGACGTAAGATGTTTAGGCTTCAAGGAAAGAATCCAGGGAACAGCTGTGGTGACGGTGACAGGAGCGGACATGTTGTAAGTAAATAATAAATCAAATGCTGCAAAATGAAAAACAACAACATACGTTTATCGCTCCTTTTTTGACTTGATTAATCCATCCAAAGGGAAATACAAGACAGACGAATAACAATTTCGCTAAGAATGTTGGATCTATTATTGGCTCTATTCCTTTTAATTTGGAAACTTTCCCTTCAGATTCGCATTCAGGCATCCCCAGACAACCGGTTCCGCCCGGGGTTTGCTCGGAGGGTTTCGGGCATTTTCGCCCCGCGCCCCGCGTGGCCGCCACTCCGCTCTCACGGCGCCCGCAACGAGCAGCATCGGCCAGGGAGAGGCCGGGAAGAGCACCTAACTCACTTGGCGGCGCCCTGCAGCAGGTCGGTCGTTGCCCGTCGGCATGGACCTACTTCGCGCTTAAGGACGTAATACGAGTGAACATTATGGTATGGAACATAAAAAAGGAAAACGAAAGGAGGAATAACACCACCTTTCTTTATTGTTACTTTTCTCTGTTTGTTCACATTGCTCAAAGCTCGTGCAACCCACGAACACGGGACGTGAGAGCTACGCTCCGAGCCGGGCGAGTGCCATCAATGCCGGGGGTCGTGGGAGGGTGGAACGGAGCTCGCTGCCTTTCGGGCCGCCCGCCCGCGCCCGCGCCCGGGCCAGCGCCAGCGCCTTTTGCGCGCGATGACGCGTGCGCGCAGGTCGGCGCTCGGCCGGCCTCGCACAAGCCTAACCTAAATTACTCGCCGAAAGGTGACTCATTCGAATTAGCAGGCCGAATAAAGCGTGAACTTGCTCGGCCGCCATCACTGTGCGGAGACAGACACGAGGAGGAACAGTAAATCATGGGCGACCGACCGACCAACAGGTTAACCACCTTCGGACGCGTGATATGGGAACTTGTTTGATTAGATTATATAACTTCAATTAGTAAAAAATTAACATAAAACAAATGTTATTTGTATGATTATAACAAACCAACACTAGAAAAAGATGAATTTAGAAATTTTCATCTCTTTTTTCTTGGAAACTGAAAATGTTATACACAAAGATATTCACACTAATTTTAATTCATATCAGTGTTTGTAAATTTAATTCCGTCTCCCAATGTAATTGAACTACAAAATATATATTCCTCAAGGCAAAATTATTTCCAATTGAATTTGTAATAAAACTTAAGGTTATAGTCACAATATGAGAACCATCCCGCCATCAGTGAAATTTCATTACCTCGTACAACACCACACAATCACACGACCAACGGATATAATCTTTGATGAAATATTTTCTGTGCGTTCCATTTTGCTTATCTTAATAACTCAACAATCTGAAAGATGCCCCCTTCTCACCTGATTCAGCCAGGCAACGTGTTGCGACCAGCTTACTCTCTCCGCCTCTGAGATAGCAAATGAGCTCCGCGAGATCGACCTTAAGCCCCAACGCCCCTTTAAGCGGCTTTGTAAGGAATCAGGACGCCTCCTTATCCGCATTAGCCAGAGCTGTGCTGCATTTAGAAGAGGCTCTCTCTCGGATCATAGCGAAACTATCCGCGTGAAGATAAACTCAACGATAAGTTTTCTTTCAACGTTTGTCTTTCAAGTTTTAAATATTCAAACGAAATTATACAATACAATACAGTTCATGTGATTTTATTGTGAATACATGATCATCGACAAAATGTCTTGACATATGGCTGAAGTTGCATGAAATGAATTCCTTTTAGACAAAGTTTGTTTATGAACGCCGTTAACCGAACACAATTGTATGGTATTATTGTTGGAGATTCGCAGAATGTGGTTAAAACAGAATGTGCCTGCTGATGCGTGGTGACGTAGTTTATGACTCAAAGAGTTGCCTCAGGAGATACTACACAGCATCCTTAAGTAGGTCGCACGTCAATAAATGGGATTGTCAGGTTCTTCCGCGTTCTGACAGCGAATCGTCATTGCCAGGTTTTACCTTTCTGTAGAACATCCTACATGTAGTAATCCGGTAACCTACGTGTGTACATCCGCCTATCCGTCCGTCCGGGGCCACGTTTGAGGTATTGGAGGAGTCATTGGACACGTCTCTGTCTGCTGGAAGAGAACTCGTTATTGTCTCGTATCCTTCGAGAACATTATTTGTATTACTCTAAGCAAATGGTTAGCATATATATGCAATCGTGGGAATAAATTATAATTCGGACCCCTTCCAGTCTACGAGGAGTCATTCGATGCGTCTCGGTATCAAGGTGCCCGGCCATTTTTCTTTTTCGTACTCTTCTTACATATTGAATCTTATCTAAACAAATCTATTCATAAATAAAAAAATACGGGGAAGGTCAGAAGAAGTGAAGGTATGAAGCGCTGACGGACCGGAATCTGAACTCGGGTACTCAGAGGTACAAAGACCAGCGCGTTGGCCAGTGAAATGTCTTTGATAACAGAAGCATTATTTTCTATTCGTTTTGCTTGGTTGCGAGAAAGCATTTTATTGAGCGCATTAAATATCTGATACACATTGTCAATTACTCCAAAATTATATACGAAAATGTTTATTTCAAAATAAATAGTGCGGAATAAACCAAAGATTGTATGAGCATGAAAAGAGCTCTTTCAATGCAGGTTGATTCGAAAATTCTACACGGTGACTCTCTCATTTTCTCTCTCTAACTCTTTCCACTCCATTTTCTTTTTTCTCGACATAATTCTTCGTCCGCCAGTCCGTCCTCTGCTACGCTGATTGTCTGACTGCGATTCCGCGCGCGTCAACGGCAAAGGTCAGTCCCGTAAGTATAGTGCATGATCTTCCTCCGCTGGATGACGAGATCCGGCACCGACCTACCGCCGACTAGCGGGGTTTTCCCCAATCAGGTATCTCACCAGGAGGCGCCGTCCCGGCCAGGACAAGCACTAAGCTCCCGACCGGTCTCCAGGCATCTGGGGCAGTGTAGTGCATGCAAGTGGGTGTGTAAGTAAGGGGTGAGGATAGGACAAGAAGAGGAAGGAATGATCGCGCGTGGTCTGTGGCCCGTTAGGGTACTGCTCCAGCATTTGTGTGATGTTGATCAGAGAAACCGCAGAAAACTACCGATGAGAGCATCCAGCTGCTCTGATGGGTAGTTTTCTGTGTGTGTGTCGAGAATCCTTCCACAGTAGGAGCTAGGACCTCCCGGTCAGAGGCAATCCAGTGACATCAATGGCCGGGCGCTTGACGCTCAATTAAGAGAGGCAGCGGGCGTCCACGCGAGCGACGCACCGTCGCCTTGGAAGCCTGCGTGTGCCGCGTGCTGACAGCCACGACCAAGGCAGAGGGGCGCCGGGCGGGCTCGCAGCCCACACAGGTGGAGAAGGTGGCGAGAAAGGCTACGAACGATGGAAGCGAAACGCAGACGCGCCATCACGCGTGGCGGGGGATAGGGAGCAGAGCGGTGGGCGGCGGGAGTTCACGTCTTCGATTGTTACATGTATCTCGCGTGTCTGTGTGGCAGGGACTGCTTCCCAATACCAATGTGATGCAGACCTGATCCATGTATGGGCGAGAAGTTCTCCCTTTCGATTGCTTGCAAGATACTTACGTCGCCTCAACACCACGTCACACAGCAGGTGTCTTTTTCGATTTGCTACGATTGCGTCAGTCGAATGAAGTGAATTCTAAAGCCAGCAATTGCATTGTTATTTCTTAAGTTTACTGAAGACGAGAAGGAAGAACTCAAAAGATAGCTCACTTGAGAATGAACATTACTAAGATGTATTTTCAGCTAAAACTTTATCTCAATCTTTGTAGATTTAACAACAGGCAGAAAATCTAATAATAAGTAGAACAAAATTTACGAACATATACATTATAACTCTTTACACTCGATGGGTTCATTTCCTTTCTTCTTCGTTTATACGCGTCTGCGAGTGGTTTCGCTCTTGAAAGTTACACTGAGAGTAGAACTATTTGCTTCACCCAAATCAGGCCATTGCCTCTCTCTGAGCTGGCTGCGGGTGGCGCGGCGCAACCGATTCAAATATTGAGCCGGGCGGCACGGGCGCAAATGCAGCGCGGCCGCGTGAGTGGCGAGTCAACAAAAGAGCGCCGCGTCACGTCTACCGGAAGTAAACACAAGCGCCCTGGGAAACGCAGGGCCCGC